GAGATAAGTTGAGTTATTTCATTATGGAGTCAATGAATCATCACAATACAGGCATTGTTCATAAATGCCAAGCCTTCTTTTGACTTGAACTAATGAACAAATGGTAAAAGAGTGTTCGATTCTACTTTGTATGAGTATAGTCAAGATATTAAAACAACACTCATTGGTAGTCTATGTCTTATACACAGTATTTCTTATAATTAAATCTATTAAGTCTCTAAATGGACAGATAAAATAGCATCTGGAAATAAATGATACTCTGATTAAAAATTTCTAGAATCTTAGAAAAACAGAGGCAGAGGGCATCTAAATTAGGTGTAATCCTACCATCACTTAATTTATTAATTTTTGTCTTTATTTTAAAATTATGGTTTTTTTGGAGATAAAGTTCCTTTATTTTATTTTTTCAGCTTTTAAAAAGTTAATTGGACTTTTGGGGATGGCATTAGCTCATAAAGCCATACAGGTTTCAGGTGTACACCTCAATAAAACATCATCTGCATACTGTGTCACGTGCCCATTGCCCCAAGCAAAGTCTATTTCCATCTCCATTTCCCCTATCCCCTTTGCCTATCTCCACCAAGCCCCCACTTCCCTTTCCCTCCAGCTATCACTACACTGTTGTCTGTGTCTATGGGTTATGTTTTTATATTGTTTGGTTAATCCTATCACCTTCTTTCATTCAGTCTCCCTACCCATCTCTCCTCTGACAGCTGTCCATCTGTTTTTGTTTCTGTTTGGTTCATCACTTTATTTTGTTCATTAGATTTCATATATAAGTGAGATTCTAAGATATGTGTCTTTCTTTGACTGGCTTATTTCACTTAGCATAATAATCTCCAGGTCCATCCACGCTATCGCAAAAGGTAAGATTTCCTTCTTTTTTATGGCTCTGTAGTATTCCATTGTGTAAATGTACCACAGTTTTTTGTTGTTGTTCAGAAAGAGTGGGAGAAAGAGAGAGGAAGAGAGAGAAAGAGAAACATCGACGTGAAAGGGACACATCGAGTGGTTGCCACCCACATGACCCAACCGGGGCTGGGGACAAACTGCAACCGAGGTACATGCCCTTAGTGGGAACCAAACCCGGTTCTCTCTAGACCGCAGGCCAATGCTCTAACCGCTGAGCCAAACCGGCCAGGGCGTACCACAGTTTTTTTTATCCACTCATCTACTAATGGGCATTAGGGCTGTTTCCAGATCTTGGCTGTTGTAAATAATGCTGCTATTGACATGAGGGTGTATATATTCTTTTGAATTAGTGTTCCGGGACACTTAGGATATAATCCCAAAAGTAGGATTGCTGGGTCAAAACGTTGTTCCATTTTTTTTGCCCTTGATTGGGATCAAATCTTCAACCCTTTGGTCTTCAGGCTGATATTCGAACTGCTGAGCCAAACTGGCCAGGGCAGTAGTTCCATTTTTAATTATTGAGGAAACTCCATTCTATTTTTCACAGTGGCTATACCAGTCTGCATTCCCACCAACAGTTCACGAGGGTTCCCCTTTCTCCACATCCTCGCCACCGCTTGTTGTTTATTGATTTACTGATGATAGCCATTCTGGCAGGTGTGAGATGATATCTCGTTAAGGTTTTATTTTGCATCTCTCTGATGATTAGTGATATTGAGCATCTTTTCATGTGTCTATTGGCCATCTGTATATTCTCTTTGGAGAAGTGTCTATTCAGGTCCTTCGCCCATTTCTTAATTGGGTGGCTTGTCTTCCTGGTGTTGAGTTGTATAACTTTTTTATATATTTTGGAGATTAACTATCGGGTGTATCATTGGCAAATATGTTCTCCCATTAAGTGAGTTTCGTTTTCATTTTGTTGATGGTTTCCTCTGCAGTGCAAAAGCTTTTTAGTTTGATGTAGTCCCATTTGTTTATTTCTTTCCTTTGTTTCCCTTGCCTGAGGAGATATATCAGCAAAAATATTGCTACAAGAGTTGTCTGAGATTTTATCGTCTTTGTTTTCTTCTAGGATTTTTATGGTTATGTGACTTATATTTAAATATTTTATCCATTTTGAGTTTATTCTTGTGTATGATGTGATTTGGGGGTCTAGTTAAATTTTTAAAAATGTAGTTCTCCAATTTTTCCAACACAATTTATTAAAGAGACTGTCTTTACTCCATTGTATGCTCTTGCCTCCTTTGTTAAATATTAATTTGACCATAGAGGTATGGGTTTATTTCTGGGCTCTCTGGTCTGTTCCATTGAACTATATGCCTGTTATTATGCCAGTATTAGACTGGTTTTTAAAAAAATGTTTTTCCTTTATTGATTTTAGAGAAAGTGAGAGGAAGGGAGAAAGAGAGAGAAACATCGATGACAGAGAACATCGACTGGCTATCTCCTGCATGCCCCTCACTGGGGATTGGGCCCACAACCTGGGCATGTGTCCTGACCAGGAATTGAACTGGCGACCTCTTGGTGCAGGGTCAATGCTCAACCACTGAGCTACACCAGCCGGAAAGTACCAGATTGTTTTGACTACAATGGACTTGTAGTATAATTTGATGTCAGGTATTGTGATACCTCTAACTTTGTTTTTCTTCCTCAAGATTGCTTTGACTATTCATTCAGGGTCTTTTGTGGTTCCACATACATTTTGGGAGTATTTGTTCTAGATCTGTGAAATATGCCATTGGTATTTTAATAGGAATTGCATTGAATCTATAGGTTGCTTTGGGTAGCGTGAATATTTTAATGATATTAATTCTTCCAATCCATGAACACAGAATATACTTCCACTTATTTGTATCTTTCTCAATTTCTTTCTTCAGTGTCCCATAATTTTCCAAGTACAGGTCTTTTACCTCTTTGGTTAAGTTTATTCCAAGATGTATGTGCCCTTGACCAGAATCAAACCCCAGACTCTGGTCTGTGGGCTGACGCTCTAACCACTGAGAAAACTGGCCAGGGTTTTTTTTTTTGTTTTTGTTTTTAATATGTTTTGATTTTTTTTTTTTTAGAGAGAGATGTAGGGAGACATGAAAACATCAATGTGAGAGAGAAACAATGCTGCCTACTGCACGCCCCCTACTGGGGATTGAGCTGGCAACCCAGGCATGTGCCCTGACTGGGAATTGAACCAGGACCTCTCAGTTTATGGGACAATGCTCAGTCCACTGTACCACACCAGCCAGACTATTGGCTATTCTTTATCAAATGATCAACACTGAGAAATACTAATCTGTTATCAAGATAAATTTAAACTCTTACTATAAGAAAAGTCAAGAAGATGGAAATTATTTCTCCGTACTGTGTGATCTTGAGGAAATTATTTAAGCATTTTCTTACTTTCCACAGCACTATTCTCATTATAAACTGGGGAGATAAAATATTTATTGAAGGTTCTTGGAGCACCTTGGGCCAGAAGGCGTGTGGTTATTTTCATATCCACTATTTCTCTTGCCTTTTGCCTCTTTTTCTACCCTCCTTGGAAATAAAACAAAGTTGACCATCACTTTTGGCTTAACAACTCTCATGCAGTTGAAATTGATATTCTCAAGTATATTTTTTCTTTTAAAGAACTGCCCGAACTATAAAATAGCAATCTAGGGCTATGAGTCAGCATTTCACCTGCACACAAAATCAAAATGACTTAAAACAGAAAACACAATCTTTTTGAAAGACATAAATACACCTCCCTGTAGAAGCTTTGAGAAAATTGGAGTTTGCAAGTTTATGAATAGTTTATTACATTTCAATAAGCGCATTGTGAATCAATAAAGCAAAAGTTAAGAAAAAAGAGCTCATTACCAAGCCAGCTATTGATTCCCAACTTCCAAAATAGAACAGTACAGGAAGAATATAGAAAAAATAAAAAAAAATTTTGTGATAAAAATGTAAAGTATCTTAGGAATACAGACCTAAAGAAATTATAAAAGGAAGAATTTTCAGCAGCTACTTTAGAAGTTTATGCAAGTTAATTTCTTCATCTTTTTGGTAATAAGAATTGTTTTTACTTTTTACTCTTTAAAATATCTTTTAAATCATGTCAGAGGAGTTTGCAAAAACTGAGTATTACATTTTATTGATTCATTTATTCTTTCAGTTTCTTATATATCTTCCTCTCTTGCCTTTGACAAGTCTTTGATTAACTGTCATATCTTTTGTCACTGGTTGAAGCTGTTGTAACAAAATACTATAGACTAAGCGGCTTAAACAGAAATTTATTTCTCACAGTTCTGAAGGTTAAAGTTTGAGATCAAGATGGCAGCATGGTCCGTTTCTATTAAGGGTCTCTTCTTGGCTTATAAATGAACCCCTTCTTATTGCATCCTCAAGTGGTGAGGAGACAGTTAGCAAGTTCTCTGGTGTCTCTTCTTATGATGATGCTAATTCCATCATGAAGTCTCCACTTTCATGACCTCGTTAACCCTAATTACTCCCAAAGGACCCCATCTCCAAATACCATCATACTGGGGAACTTCAACATATAAATTTTGTGGGGTGGAGAGAGGGTGGAGGAAGGAGAATAGACATTCACTAATAGAAAAAATTACACTGGCTTTAAACCAATAAGTAGATAATATGGAAATGAATAAGTGAACTCGTTTTCAAATAATTCCAGTGGAAAGCTTCCCTTTTTCCTCCTTTCATAGCAATCTAATTCAATAAGAAAGGAACTTCCTAAAAAATTATAAACTAACACTAGTTTCACGAAGCAGTAATTTTTAAAAATGAAAGATAGAAAAAAATGAGATATACATTGTTTTGGTAAAAAACTGAGAAACAAAATATTAACCCATAGGTATGGTAAATGAAAACAACTTTTAATCCCCCATACCTTGTTCCTCTATCAACTGAAGATTCTTAAAATAATTTAAAAACATTTGGATATCCTTGGAAAGTAGTATTATAATATACAATATTTCTATATTTTATTTTTAAAAGCTATTAAAAGTAGTAAATTACACATTCTTTCATTCAACTGAATAGTAAAACAAAATGAACAAAATTATAATTGGTTTGTGCTGCATTTTAACTAATTTTAGTAGTTATTTTTTATTACATACTACATACATTTGAGAGTATAAATGTATTATTTTTTGATTGCATAATACTCTTCATTGCAAAATACTTAAATACTCTAAGAACATTTCACAATGACCATAAAGTGAATGAAAAGCATTTCTCAAAATTTCAAGTCGAAGTGTAGGGGAAAGCAGAATGAAGAGTGACTGGGATCCAGAGTTTAGGTGACTGGCAAGGTGATTCAATTAGCAGGTTGCGGAGTTATGGATGGGACCCAAAATTTTCTTGTTTAAAATGCTGCAGATTCGTGTATTCAAGAACGGGGGAGAGAGAGGAGATCTAATTACAGTCCAGATTACTTTATACCAGAAAACAACTGTAGAAACTAACTTTTCTTTAATTTTTCAAAACTCAACCAGGTGTGTGTATGGCCCATTGGTATCCAGCTTTAACACCTGCCTGTTCCCGTAAGTGCCATGTTGCACCACAACTCCAGCTTCAGCACACTTGCTGTTAGCAGCTAATTCTTTTTCACATAAAGTCACGAATTGGGAATAAAGTTCTAACCCTTCTTCTTTTCCAGAGTTAGAGTGATACTGCATGCTTCTTCCTTTTACTCTTCCCCCAAGGGTGGCTTGAGGGATGATAAGAATGTTGCCAGGTAGGTCCAATATAGAGACGTGCTTGCCATTTTCTGTTTCACTTAACTTCACATTTAACAGTGTGTTAACTAGGTGGGGAAGAAAGGGAAAACATTTTGAAGTGAAAAACAAATGAAGGGAAAAAAAATAAAGAAAACCAAAAACTTTCTAGTCAGCAAATCTCATCCTTAAAACCCAGTTTTTCAGCCCTGGACGGTTTGGCTCAGCGGTTAGAGCATCAGCCTGCGGTCTAGAGAGTCCCGGGTTCGGTTCCCGCTTAGGGCATGTACCTCGGTTGCAGTTTGTCCCTGGCCCCGGCTGGTGTTGTGTGGGTGGCGACCACTCGATGTGTCTCTCTCACATTGATGTTTCTCTCTTTCTTCCTCCCTCTCTCCCTCCAGCTCTATCTGAAGATAAATGCAAAAAAAAAAAAAAAAAATGTCCTTGGGTGAGGATAAAAAAACAAAAAAAACCCAGTTTTTCAACTCATACTTTTTACCCCAAATCTCTATTTAGATTTTTTTTTTAATCCTCACCTGAGGACATTTTTGCATTTATCCACAGATAGAGTGGGAGGGAGACAAGGAGGAAGAGAGAGAGAAACAACATCGATGTGAGAGAGAGACACAGACTGGCTGCCACCCACACGACCCCAACCAGGGCCGGGGACAAACTGCAACGGAGGTACATGCCCTTAGCGGGAACCGAACCCGGGACTTTCTGGTCCGAGGGCCAATGCTCTAACCGCTGAGCCAAACTGGCCAGGGTCTACTTAGATTTTTAAAAACTGCTTCACTGAGCTGGATGATCTAAGCATGAAAAACAAGGCAAATTTCATGCAGAAAATGGCATAATGTTTCAAATGTAACTTGGCAGTTAAGATCTCCTAACAATATGTTCATCTAGAACGGACTATAACTGTATACTAAAAACCTCAAAATATTGTTGTTCCTTTTTACATTTCATAAGAAAATACCATTAGAAAAGACCCTTCTAAATTCTCCTCTCACTAAATTCTGCTTTATATAAAGAATATTAGCCTTGGCCATATAGCTCAATTGGTTAGAGTGTTGTCCTGGTATGATAAGGTTGCAGGTTCAATTACCAGTCAGGGCACATACAACAGTCAACCAATGAATGCATAAATAAGTGGAACAACAAATTGGTGTTTTTCTCTCCCCCCCTTCTAAAATCAATCAATAAATTAAAAAAAATAAATAAAAATAAAGAATATTAAACAAAACCTTTGTGCATTATTTTATTTTATTATTATTATTATTTTTATCCTCACCTGAGGACATTTTTCCATTTTTTGTTCAGATAAGAGTGGGAGGGAGAGAGAGAGAGAAACATCAACGTGAAAGGGACACATCAAGTGGCTGCCACCCACACGACCCAACCAGAGCCGGGGACAAACCACAACTGAAGTACATGCATGCCCTTAGCAGGAACCGAACCCGGGTCTCTCCGGACCACAGGCCAATGCTCTAACCACTGAGCCAGACCAGCCAGGGCTGCAGTTATTATTTTAAACACAGTTGCTTAGCCCTGGACGATCTGGCTCAGTGATTAGAATGCTGGCCTGCAGACCAATGAGTCGTGGGCTCGATTCTGGTCAACGGCACTTACCTCGGTTACAATTCATCCCCAGTCCTGGTTGGGGTTGTGCGGGAGGCAACCAGTCGATGTGTCTCTCTCACATCAATGTTTCTTTCTCTCTCCCTGTCTCCCTCTCTCTCCTTCCCACTCTATCAGAACAAAAATGAAAAAATATCCTCAAATGAGGATTAAAAAAAAAAATACAGTTGCCTAGAGTTCTAAGCTGAGACAAAGGTACCAGTTTAAATCCCATTATAAATCAGCTGATTTTACAATTTCATAATCTCAAAGGCACTATTAATATGGATTAATCATGTTACAAATACAACCCATGGGAGAATAGTAAAGGTGAAAGCAAGAATCATCAGAAATTCATCGTTACAACTGAAAAAATACATCAAAAGGTTTAGAATTACTGCCGTTATCTTCATATGCATACAAGAAGACATGGTATTATTATTTTACGGCACTTATGAAATTAGTACTCATAGCTAATAAGAAGTATCAGAATCACCATAAATATTGATGTGTACCAAAAAATCTAAACTTAGTAAATATTTATATCTCAAGATTAGCCATCTTCAAAACAATAAACAAAAGAAATGCCTAATATAAATGGCCTTCCTACCTCTATAAAGTGTAAGTAGCTTCTGCTTGTAAATAAGTCTTGAGAGGACAAATGGTAAAATAAACTATATAAACCTCATATTCCTGCTCAATAATTAGGCCTGAAAAGGTATGCTTTCTGGTGGGGTAGTCAATGGTTTCAATTCTCACAGGGTCTGTAGTAAATATTAGTAAGGATTCAGTAAGATTGCCCCACTCTACAAATTAGGGAATTAACCTGGTAAAAACCTGCCAAGGTGATCATCCAGATGAATTCCTAAGCTATGCATTAAGCACTATCAATTTTCTTTTTTTAAAATCCTCACCCAAGGATATGTTGTTGTTTTTTATTTGATTTTAGAGAGAGAGGAAGGGATGGGGTAAGAAGGGAGGGTAGGAGGGAGGCAGGGAGAAGGGGTGTGAGGCGGGTGGGGGGGGGAGGGAGAGAGAGAGAGAGAGAAAGAGAAACATCAATGTGAGAAATATTGACTGGCTGCCTCCCATGTGAGCACCCACCGGGCAGGGATGGAACTCACAACCTAGGTATATACCCTGACCAGGAATTGAACCCACAACCTTTGAGTGCGTGGGATGATGCTTCAACCAACTGGGCCAAGCACTATCAATTTTCACCTAACTAATATCTATTTTAAAATATCTCTAATATTCTCTACTATAAATAGAACTTTGCTATATAGCCAACAGTCCTTATTGGTTGCTTCTAAGGAAACTGTAACTCTCTAGAGCACTTCATTCCAATGGAACTTACCATCTAGCTATCCAGGTCTCAGGCTAGTAACAGAGTAGGGAGGTAATTTTGGAATAACAGGCCAGAGAGGTAAGTGCAATTTATTATACTTCCCCACACTTTCCTCCATAGGCTGTGACTGAGAATTCAATTAATGCTGTTGGTATACAAATATCAGTATGCAGAAGTAAATATAATATAAATACAAACTGTCAGTAAGTAGAATTAAAATGAAATGATGAATTAATGGCATGTTGGATATTCAAAGATCCTAAGACAGATTATCAAGTATTTCTAATAATGTATACGGAAAGTTAAATTTTGACAGGTCCCTGGATCTCAGTTCAATTATACTGAAGATGAACTGAGAAAGATTCTGCACATCTCTGTGTTAGCCATGCTATTCCAGACTTCATCGATATAACTGGTTGTTATGTTCCCAAGGACACACGATTTGATTAGAAAGATCTGAATCCATGTAATAAATATGAGGTGGGGTTTAAGAAAATCCCATCATATTGGCTTACTTTGCCTCCTGGAATAGAGGGAAGTACAACCTAAGGCTATCCATTATAGATGGACTCATTTTGCTTGTAACTGACACCAGCAGAATGTGATTCTTACAGTCACAGTTCTTTACTAAGCATCATGATATATAAAGCCTTGTGTTAGACTGTCCACTAAAAGAGTTAAGGCGAACCTCCTCAGTATTTTTTTGTTTTCCTCTTTATTGATTTGAGAGAGAGAGAGGAAAGGAGAGGGAGAGAGAGAAAGAAACATCAATGAGAGGGAACATTGACTGGCCACCTCCTGCACACCTGCAACCTGGGCATGTGCCCTGACTGGGAATTGAACCTGTGATCTCTTGGTACATGGGTTGATGCTCAACCACTGAGTCACAGTGGCTGGGCCTATGTTTTTATTTTTATTTTTATTTATTTTTTTTATCCTCACCCGAGGATATTTTTCCATTTTTTGTACAGATAGAGTGGGAGGGAGAGAGAGGAAGGAGAGAGAGAGAGAAACATCGACGTGAAGGGACACATCGAGCGGCTGCCACCCGCACGACCAACCAGGGCCGGGGACAAACTGCAACCGAAGTACGTGCCCTTAGCGGGAACCGAACCTGGGTCTCTCCGGACCGCAGGCCGACGCTCTAACCGCTGAGCCAAACTGGCCAGGGCTGGGCCTATGTTTTTAATTCACCACTATTTATATAAGTATTCAAAACGAACTCAGGAAGACATTTTTGGAAGCACACAGGATTTAATTGCTATAAAACAAAATGCAGCTTGGATGTGGTTAGTTCATTTCATCTTATGATTAAGACCCATTTAAGCATATATAAAACAACTTTAGGAAGTCAATCTTAAATCACAAGGACAAGAATTATCTTCCTGTTATTAAAGATTTCTACTATGCTTTTTTTTATAATTAATAAATATTTAATTCAAGGCAAACTATTAACTCATGATAATGGACAGAATGTCCAATTCCCAGGCATTAGGTCTTGGTTAATAATCCTCTATAACGGGAGCCCTCATTTCACTTTATCTAAGCTCCCTATCATACTCCAGATTCAAATTTTAAACCATTACAGTTATTGGCTTTCTAGCCTCACCTATCATAGGTCCCTTCTTAAGTCTAGTTTTCATCCTCGGACAAACTGTCAAACATGTTCAGTGTCTCTGCATAAAATTCCCTCTAGGAGTTTTAGTCTTTAGTCTAAGCTGTTCGTCATTGAGCTATTTGCCCTTGAGTTCCACTACTTGAAGCTCTTTTAGGTTAACTTCTGTGGGCTTCAACTACCCATTTATCTAATTTTTTGTTTTTTGTTAATCCTCACCCAAGGGTAATTTCCATTGATTTTTAGATAGAATAGAAGGGAGGGATGGAGGGAGGGAGGAAGAGAGAAGGAAAAAGGGAAAGAGAGAGAACGATGTGAGAGAGACACATTGATTGGTTGCCTCCCGCACAACCACTACCAGGAACAGTAAATGAATCTGCAACCCACGTATGTGCCTTTGACCGGGAATCGAACCTGCAACCCTTCAGTCTGACGCTCTAGTTGCTGAGCCAAACTGGTCAGGGCTAATTTATATCTTACTAGTCAAACTAATGGGTCCTGTCCTTCACTAATAAGAGAATATAACCTGTCCCCAATCTTAGGAATAGTGCCATTATTTTAGGCTTTTTGGGGAACATAATTATTACATCAAATACTATCTTGAGACAGTATTTATGTAATTATCACAAGGAATGTGCAGCGCTGTGGACCACCCAGTATACCAGAAGGCTGCAGGTAGGTAAATTACTGTTCAGAGAAGCTGAAACATTGACTCTGCTTTCTCTGTCCCTAGAGGAGGTGTGGATGTAATGACACTGAGCTTGGTTCAAGAATCAGGAGAACCTTATATTTACACACATTTCCTACAAATAAATGCATAAAGGGTTAATGTAAATTCTTCCATAATGATGATGCCAACCTGAGCTGTCCAGATTTGCGGGGCCACATATTGTACATCCAGTGTCACCTACATGTCCCTGTTAGGGACTTTGGGAGTTAAGAAAACTATATTAAGAAATGCAGCATCTGTTTCTCCCTATGTGGCCACCTTACTTCCAACAAGTTTCTGTATCCTTGGCTGAATCTCAGTGTGGGGTGTGTGTATGTGTACACTCTTCTAAACCATTCTATAAGCCATCGGAAATGCTGCAGACATTTAAAAATAATCCCAACACACTTGTTTACTTTAAACTTTGGAATAGGCAAATAGCTAATGTCAACAACAGTGCAGAGTTAAGTCATTTACAGCTTTCCAGTTAGATCGTGCCTTCTGTCCCTTCTGGAAATTTATCTATCTACTGCTACACATGCTCATTCAAAAAAGAAACAACATCAAACACTTACCCATTTTGGGAAGAAGTTCTTTATCAGCTCCCTTGAAAAAACACACGTAGATCACTAATCCTCTCTGAACCTATGATAAATCACCATAGTAAACTCAGATTAGAAAGAAACTTCTATGTGGAGATAAAGAGGTAAATGAATAAAATTTCACAACTATTATAGATGTAAAGTTAAAGGCAAAGAAAGAGAATTAAGTCTCTACAATATTGATTTCTTAAATATGTGAGAAAAAATCTTTTTCAATATTCAATCTCCTCAATGATCATTTCTTTCAAAGATTAAGTTTAAAATATAGCCAACAGCAGTGAAGACCACAAGTTTTACCTTCAAACAATTGCTTCTAATAAAAATCATTAGACTATGAACTAGTTTCCTCCCCCCTAAGTAAGTCTGGCAGACTTAGAAACATTTAATTTGCAGGGCCCCATTTATTCAACACCAAATGAGTTCACATTATATCTCATATGGCTGATGACATCACCACTCTATTCCTCCTGGTCCATTTACTTGCAGATTATGAAAATTAGGGTCTCTTTTATTTCTATAAACTCCAAGAAATCTTGCACTTGTTTCTTGTTATTGTTAATACTTTAAACAAACAGTTATTAGGCCTTGGAAATTGCATTTATGATACTAAGTTCTACATCACGAGGTACTATGTCACAGGGAATGTAACCTCATTTATTTTATATGATTTGGATATTTCTTTATTAGTAGCTCTTGTAGGATAGGGACTGTATGGGAAAGAGACACTTGATAAATGAGTGATTTTGCTGCTGAGTAAATCATTTAATTTTTTTATTCTGTAGATTAACCCTATTGAGTCCAAGAGCTATTATGAAGATTAAATGAGTTAATACTTGTAAGGTGCTTAAAACAGTGCCTGGTTCATAGAAAGAGCTATATAAGTGTTCATTAAGTGTGTAAAAATAAATTTAAGGGCTAGGACACAATTTATTTTACATTTAACTCCCAAGGCACTTTATAGACTATTTTCAATGTAATAGGAACCCAATTTATCTGTTGATTGCATGTAAGTTCAATTGTATTTTACAGGATCCATGGATTATCTATATTTTCCTTTATGTAAATATAAATGCAGTTCTGCTCTCACACCTGATTTACCTGCAAAAGAAGTAATTTTTTTTTTTTTTTTCATGTGCCTCAGGCATGAAACAGCTCTGGCCACCAATACAGACATCAAGCTAGGATGAACTAAGGACTATACATCTGCTCTGCCCCTGATTGATATAAGACCAACACCACCAATCAGGTGTCTCTTTGCCCAATACCAGGGGGTAGAAGTAATTTTTTAAAAGTGCAATTGTGGTTCTGGAACAAACAAGGGCCTCCAATGCACACTCATAATGAGCTGGCAGGTGGAATGACAGTTATCTGCACCATTGTCACAGGCCTACCCACTGGGATTGTTTTAGCATGAGCCAAAATCTCAAGCATATTCATGTTTGGACACTTGCAATGTTAGCATTAAATATTTACTTATTTGCAGAAATAGACACCTGTTCTTTCCGCTCCCCACACTTCTTCCTCATAAGGGTATTTTCTTCTTGTTTATTCCAATAATAAATCTTAAATTGTGACCTACAAATTCCCCTCTTCAAGTCAGCATCACTTGTCTGGTAGCTTCTTTTGGTATAAAATACATCAAATATATATAAAAGTACAAATAATTTTCACTGTAGCTTTAAAAATGAATGAAACTAAAATATGCAAAATAACCTTCAAATCTTTTGACAATTAAAACTTGTTTTTAAAAAATCAGAACTTTTGCCGGGCCGGTGTGGCTGTGGATTGAGCATAGCCCCACGGACTGAAAGGTCCTGGTTCCGGCACATGCCTGAGTTTCAGGCTCCATCCCCAGTAGGGGGCATGCAGGAGGCAGCCAATTGATGTTTCTATATCTCTCTTCCTTAATCTCTCTCTAAAAAAAAAAAAAAAAAAAAAAAAATCAATAAAAACATTAAAAAAAAAATCAGAACTTTTGATCATAGAATAGGGAAGAGGATGCTGGAGAAAGAGAATTTACTTTTTCACTATCTCTTTATACTAATTTAACCATGCATAGGAGTGAAAAAGAAAGCTTTAAAAGTTTATAATTGCAGACTGATAGTTTGGAAGGCTGCTAAAATATTTTGATTTTGCATAAGGAGATGTTTTATGAAGAATACAAAAAGATAAAAGAGCATGGAAGAAATCTAAAGGATTAACAGTTTGGGATTTACTGTCCCATGAGGCAACTATAAAAATAAGCAATTCTCTGGATAAGATGGCAAATATAAAAAAAGAATAAGATTTCAATATATGGAAGAGAAATCAGTATCTTAAAAAAGGCCCTAACAAAAATAAGGAATAAGAAATATGAATTTCTGAGAAAGAAAAGGGGAGGGGACATTATAGGAATGCTTAGGTTTATAAATATTTCCAAGTTAGCAGAAAGATTCTGATTTAAGAATAATCATCCACACATCATAGTTCATGGGTAGTATTTAAAACAAAGACTGTCATTGTGTTAAGGAATGCTAGATCTGGGACCAAATTCAGCAGGTAAGGTGCGTGAACCAGGTGCTCCTGCATTAAAGTTTCTGAGTACCTCCAAAACTCTTAATTATGAACTAACGTTTTTCCTCATTTCATCTTACTCCAAAAATAAGTCAGGGGCCTCAAAGCCTTTGCTTTCACAGAGAATGGGGGCAGGCTGTTTTTAAAAAGCAAAGATGCAAGTAGAAGGAAATCATATTGACGGAAATGTTTCAACTTCTTTGGAGAAAATGTGTTCGACAACAAGGCAAGGTTATTATAAAAGGAGTAGCCTCTGTTTCTATTTGGAAGTCAGTTCAACTTGTAAAAGTTCCTTGAGAAAAGAACTGTTTCTTGGAAAATCTCATTTCTATGTCCATCCAGCTGCAGACAACATAACAAGAAAATCAAGTGAAAAGGACCTTGAATGTTTGCAACAAATCTAACCAACAAGCTCGAACCATCCCAGCGCAGCAACGCCAGGGGCGTGGCAAGGCCGCAGCAGCGCCAGGGGCGTGGCAAGGCCGCAGCAGCGCCAGGGGCGTGGCAAGGCCGCAGCAATGCAGGGGCGTGGCAAGGCTCTTGTAAAGCGAGAGGTCTGGGACAAATGGATCTCAAGTCCTCCGAGCCCAGGGAAGTGAGAGGAAGTTAACATTTCCGCGGGCCTGACTTTCCTCTGGAGGAATAAGCCGGAGGGAGAAGGAGCCGGGCCGGCGGTGCTGGGCTGAGGACACAGGCGAAACCAGCCGGGCCCCTGTGGGCAGTTCAGGGCAGACCGGCAGGAAGTCCCGTGCCGCCCACAGCAAGTGCTGGGTGCCACGTGGCCGGCTCCCAGGAAGACGCGGGGGCACCAGTCACCCAGACAACGTGGAAAGAACCGTCCCTGCGCGCCCGGGGACGTCGGGAGCTGCGGGGCCCACGTTACCTCCACCCACTGGGCCGCGGAGTCCCCCTCGGCCGGGCGTACTTGCAGCCGGGCGTGCAGGCACTGCTGCAGGAGCGCCCGGGCCTGAGGTGTCCGGCCGCTTTCAGCCATGGCCCAGGCTCGCGCGGCGATGCCCCGGCGCCAGGCCCGGCGCCACGCGGCTCTGCTCAGCGCGCCGGGAAGGCGGCGCCGGGCGCGGGGCGGGGCCTCGGCCCGGCTCTCCTGGGGCTCGGAAGTGACGTCTTCAAAGACAACGCGGGTACCTACCTACCTGCCTAGTAGGTCTCAGTGTATATTTTTAAACGAGGGAGAAGACTTATTGGTTCTGTTCTCTACACACTTTTCAAAGACACATTTTTCAGCTTGGAAAGCTTACTTTTCCAGACAAGGAAAAAATTTAAATATGCTTAAGTCCATATTATGCCCATTATGAAGGTAAGTAAATAGAATAAACCAATTGAATCACACAATGTTAGCAGAGATGAAATTAAAAGCTATAACTCTTTCAAAAATTTTTTTTCTTTTAAATCTAATACAATAAGACAATGCTGCCTCCTCTATCAGGAATACTATAAATCATTCTGATGCTACAGTTGTGGAAAGGTTTTGGTATGTGAAAGAATATACGTTTGGAGACCAATCCTTTAGAAAAACATCCTCGCTAAAAGTATTCTTATCCAAGAAAGTGTGTGATTGTTAATAAACTCTTTAACCTGCTACTAATACAAAAATAAAACGATATATATGTACACAGTTGTAATAAATTCTGTTATGTTTCCTGTAAGTTGATATTAGAATTAAAATAAAATTAACCAAGGACTTGATTTTCTTTCCCACATAACATAGTCCTTAAACATCCATCAGATTAGCATTATTTTTCTATGGGCTTGGAGGATTTAGATGAGGAATAATAGTGTTACCCTGATTGCATTACCCAGGTCATTGATTTGGGCTGTTGGCACAATATGCCTATACATTCCGGTCTGTTGTTTTAGAAGATGACATCACTGAGAGTGTTGCTATTCCATACAAAGTAGTGTGACCGAAGAAAATAATCCATGCATAATCAGCAGCCCTTTCTACATCAAATTGAAGCTGCCTGTTTGCTGGTTATCTTGCAGCTGCCTTACACTTTTTGTAAAAAAAACAAAACAAAACACAAAATCTCACTTTATCTGATTGCTGCATTGCAGGGGGTGACATTTAAAAACATCCATTGACATTTGTAAAGCACAGACAAGTTGCATTGTCTGCACCTTTTGTGTCATTATAAATACTGAGTCTCTTTTCTTTTTCACTCCCAGACTCAGGTTTACAGGGCGGAAGGAACTTTGACATAAAGGCCCTTAGCCTTGACCTAGAATGAGAAAGAACTTTAATGTCCATTTGCGTATGGGTGCAGGAGTTAAGGTGGTTTCTTTAAAATAGGGTATATAGTTCCCAGAGATCGGTCCATATTGAAGGGACTTTAGCAAATTGGGGAACATTTCCTGTGAGTAGATGGAGTCTGGTTGGTAATGGTTAGCATCTTAAAGATCACCATTTATTTGAAACATTCCTTCCTTTTGGGTCGGAATCTCCAGGACACTACTGTTGTAATAGGTGGTGGCTTACTTATTCTTTCCTTTTACCTGAAGAGGGCAGTAGAGAGTAGGCACAAAAGAGTATTTCTTTTCTCTATTTTTTGAACATCTAGCCTCATTCCACAAAGGATTTTTTTTCTTTCTTTCTTTCTTTCTTTTTAAAAACGTATCTTTATTGTTGAATGTATTACAGATGTCCCTCCTTTCTCCCCTGGTAACCCCTTCTTCCCCATTCCCATCCCCCTCCTGTCTTCCCCACACTATTGTCTGTGTCCATTGGTAATGCATATAGGCATATAAGTTCTTTGGTTTATCTCATCCCACCCTCCCTTCCCTTTCCTTTGAGGTTCATCAGTCTAATAACCAATTTGTATTTCTTAATCCCTTCACCCTTTTCACCCATTCCCCCAATCCCCCTCCCGTCTGTCAACCAACAAAAAGTTCTGTCTGTGAGTCTGTTTCTGTTTTGCTTGTTCATTTTGTTTGTAGATTCAATTGTTGATAGATATGTATTTATTGCCATTTTATTGTTCGTATTTTTTTTATCTTTTTCTTCAAGAAGACCCTTCAGCATTTCATATAATACTGGTTTGGAGGTGATGAACTCCTTTAGCTTTTTCTTGTCTGGGAAACTATATTACCATCGATTCTAAAGGATAACTTTACAGGATAGAGTAATCTTGGTTGTAGATTCTTGCTTTTAATCACTTTGAATATTTCTTGCCACTCCCTTCTGGCCTGCAAAGTTTCTTTTGAGAAAGCAGCTTCCAGTCTTATGGGAGCTCCCTTGTAGGTTACTAACTGCTTTTCTCTTGCTGCTTTTAAGATTCTTTCTTTGTCTTTAACCTTTTGCATTTTGATGATGGTGTGTCTTGGTGCGGGCATCTTGGGGTTTATCTTGTTTGGGACTTTCTGTGCTACCTGGACTTGTATGTCTGTTTCCTTCACCAAGTTAGGGAAGTTTTCTGTCATTATTTCTTCAAATAGGTTTTCAATTTCTTCCTCTCTTCTCCTTCTGGCACCCACATGATGTGAATGTTGGTATGCTTGACGTTGTCCCAGAAGCTCCTTACACTATCCTTTTTTTTTTCTTTTTGCTGTTCTGATTGGGTGTTTTTTGCTTCCTTATATTCCAAATCAATGGTTTGCTTCTTGGCTTTACCTACTCTATTATTGATTCCCTGTAAATTATTCTTTATTTCAGTTAATGCCTCCTTCATTTCTGACTGTGCATCCTTCATTTCTGACTGGTCCTTTTTTATGTTCTTGAGGGCCTCACTAAGTTCATCGAGCATCCTTATAACCAGTGTTTTGAACTCTGCATCTGTTAGATTGCTTATCTCCATTTCATTTAGTTCTTTTCCTGGAGTTTTATTCTGTTTTTTTCATTTGGGACATATTTCTTTGTCTCATTTTGGCTGCCTGCCTGTGTTTGTTTCTATGTATTAGGTAGAGCTACTTTGTCTCCTGGACTTCCTAGGGTGGCCTTTTGTAGTAGGTGTCCTGTAGAGTCCATTGGCCTTCCTGATCACCCCACATGGGCCCTCGAGGTACACCCTTGTGTGGACTGTATACCCTCTATTGTAATTGAGTCTTGATTGCTATTAGCACGTCAATGGGATGGAATTACTCAGGCTGATCAGCTGCAAGGAACTGGCTGTGCTCACTGACCACTGACTACCTTGCAAGATCAGCTCTGCAGGGCCCACCACGCAGAGCAAGACTTACTTCAGCAGGGCTCTGGTACTCACTGAGTTCACTCCTTGAGTGTGTTGCTTTTGGAAATGGTTGGGTAGTGCTACTTTGATGTGGTCTGAAGCTGTCCACTGGGTGTGCTGGCTCTGGGGCAAGGTCAGCCACTGCCCATGTTTTACCCGGGGCCACCAGGCATAAGCTACAAAGCGATATTCAGATGGTTGCTACTTGTGCTGGGCTTTGGAGGTGCCCAGGCAAAGCCAAGTTGTGAACCAAGGCTAGCACTCCCGTCCTGGGCCTGGGGCCACTCAGTGAGAGGTATGGGGCTCACTGAGGCCAGATGCTGCTTTTTTGAGAGAATTTAGGAAAATCTGAAACAGGAGCCAAGGCAGGCTATTCCTATGGTAAAGCCACTAGAAACAGCTTGGATGGGCCTGAAAGTTGGGTGGGGCAAGGCCTCAAAGATTCACCATGGTGGGCAAACAGTGTGAGCCAGGTTGCTGGAGTCCCAGATATGGTGGCTGTCTGCCTGCCCTGTGGGGGGAAGGGCTCACCAAAGGAACTATAGCCTCCACCAGCATGTCTGTCTGGGAGAAAGCTGCCCTACAGCTCTCACACCCCAATGACAAACAACTCAGTTCTTCTCTGTATGTCTCTGGTGCCTTTCAAGCTGCCTCCCCCATGCTGGAGCCTGGAGGGTGCTAGTCTGAGTAAGTCTGTGTGTGGGCCCTTTAAGAGGAACTGCCTGGGACTCTAGCAGCCGCAGCCTCCCTCAGCCTCAGTTCCTTTTGGTTTTTCCAGCCAGAAGTTATGGGGACTTCTCTTTCTGGCACTAGAACCCTGAGTTGGGGGGCTTGATGTGGGATGGGGAGCCCTTGCTACTCAGAGAGGACCTTCGCAGCCAAGGTGCTCCTCCTGATTTTTATCCGCCACATGTGGGTGTAGGACCAGCTTGTCTGTGCCTCCACCTCTCCTACCAGTCTCAATGTGGCTTCTTTAATTTTGACACTGTAGGACTTCCATTCAGCTTGATTTCAGGCAATTTTGAATGATGGTTGTTCAGTAGTTTAATTGTAATTTTCATGTGGTTGTAGGAGGATGCAATACCGTGTTTACCTACTGGTCATCTTGACCGGAAGTCCCCACAAAGGATTTAAGAAGGCAAGACCTACATATACAAAAATAGTAAAATATTGGGAGTAATCAACATAGAATTTTGTAAGTAAGTCACAATTGGGGAAATAAAAAAAAATAAGACTAGTTCTTGACTAGAGTGCTGAGATGATATAGTATGTAGAAAAGTTTTCACAGAAACATAACTTTAATTTTTGTTGCAAAACATTATGTGCATTGTATGTAATGTCAAGATGAAGCATGTTGTACCATTTCTTTCAAGTTAGAAGTCAAACGCAAAGCGTAGCATTAAGAAAGGAAATGGTTCACTGGAACATAGAGAACTTTGTCTCCTGAGTATATAAAAAAATCATTGTCTGCCCCGGCTGGTTTGGCTTAGTGGTTGGAGCATTAGCCCGCGGACCAGAGAGACTTGGGTTCGGTTCCTGCTAAGGGCATGTACCTCACTTGCAGTTTTCCGGGCCCCGGTTGGGTTGGTTGGGGTCGTGTGGGTGGTGACCACTCGATGTGTCTCTCTCACGTCGATGTTTCTGTCTCTCTCTCTCTTCCTTCCTTTTTCCTTCCACTCTATCTGAAGATAAATGCAAAAAAAAAAAAAATGTCCTCAGGTGCGGATAAAAAAATCACCATCTGAGTAGGAATAGTTCTCACGGCTCTACAAGGCCATACGAATAGTGGGTTAATGATGAATGCATTCTAGGCCCCCTGAAATGGTAC